TAATAATAATAATAATAATAATAATAACTGTCTCTTATACACATCTAGATGTGTATAAGAGACAGTATATATATAGGCCTGTGTGTGTATTAATGTATATTGAATTAACCATAATTATAAGTCCAAAATAATACCAATCGGGGTAATATTAAATAAAAATTATATCAGTAATCATAAAAATTTAATTGATAATATCAGTAATAATAATAACGACAATTGTTAACAAAATAGGCCTATACGTTTTTTTGAATTTATTTTTGATAGACAAATAAATAGCTTTAGCAAAACGGAGAACTGTTGTAGTTATTGTATTGTAATAATGTGTGGAAATGTCAAATCTACTTTAATAGCCTCATATCAATTAATCTGTATATAATACACTCACAAATGTTATGATTTACAAATTAATGATCGATGCGTGAATCACTTAAGATGCTATTTACTGCGTCAATACTATTTCCAGAGGTCTTTTGAGATACTGTAGTGTGACGTAGTACAAATATGACGAAAGAACCTGTTTGCGTATTGCTGTTTGCTATCATGGTAAATGCATTATTTTACAATAACAAGGTAAATAATGATAACAATGATGATTATCTGGGTAATAATTTAATACAAATGATGATGAATGATAATTAGTAGATATCAAGAACGTCTATTCATTCCAGTGGTGACTCCAGAAATCTGTGTTTGTAGCCTATCGTCTAAACTTTAAACTGCTTCTCAGCATATCACACCAACATTTCGAACTCCGACATGAATCGAGTGGACAGCTTTTTAGTTATTTGGGTTAATATTAAGTGCTAGTTTCTTGTTTTCCGACAAATTTAGTGAGTCTGATCCAACGGGCCCTCTGAGAGTCCCGGAATAAAATCCCTGTTGGGATTCATGAGCAGATATTGTATGGCTTAGGATGGCCAAAAATTAGGGATTGACAATTCGCAATCACAATAACTGTGTTTGGATTAGCAACCTAATATTTTTGATCCGAAGACCTCGTCGTGGCGTCGGGGGTCCATGCTTGTCCAACGCCTCTCCAACGAATACCTTCATTGTCTCATTCCACACTCTATGCTTTCCCAGAATTAATTTATATTAAGTAATTATTTTCCATGAAGTAGGTGTGCCACCTAAAGTTGTCTGTTTTCTCTCACCGTTGCTAACTCAGTATAGGCTACTTCTCAACTTTTTGTTATGTTTTGGTCTTTCTCCCGCAACACATCTCGAATTCACATTCATCCTATCATTTCGTTCAGTGTCGTAATCCATGGAGGAAGCTTTCCTCTATGCGTAATACAAACGTTTGCTCTTATTTTGTTATTAAGCCATTATTAGGCAGATATGATCTTAAATACTGCAACGTGAATATCATGTAACAAAATTATTTATCATATGACTGTATCATGTGACCGAGATTCGCATTGACATTCAGATTAAAGTGCAATTGGTTGGGAGAAGTCATAGCTTGGTCATCAATATTCAAGACGAAACAATTCTTAATACATCGTCATCAAATGCTGATTCAATGATTCTTTATTGTCTCTCGTTTACAGAAGAACATTATTATTCACTCTTTATTAAGACATCATTTACAAACAATGTAAGTAAATTAATAATAATATTAATAATAACTTGATGGTATTGACACATTCATTCATATAACAATTATAATATAAACATAATAGGCCTATTTATAATAAATAATATGCAAGTCAACTGTGACGTCATCATTTTAAAGCTTAAAAACCCGTTTACTTCCATAGAGAAAATTTATTTAGGTAAACCAATGCTTACTTAAAGAAATTTTCTCTATGGAATATACCGTATATTGGAAACCAGATGAAACTATTTAGCCATTTAACCTGTTTACTATCACACCGTTGGCGACCACGCACGAAGTTTACAACCAAGTGTCCTATGCTGAAAAATAGAAGCCTTACAAGCGTTATTTGATTCGAAAAAGTTGCCTTCAGTTCTTGTGGGACTTCCAGGATTTTTTCCGGAAAATAACGGAATTTTTTGGCTTCAATTTTCCAACAGCGCGCCTCAAAACTTGAAAATAATTGTATGATAATGATGATTACAATAATAATTCATAATAATAATAATAATAATGATAATAATAATAATAATAATAATAATAATAATAATAATAATAATAATAATAATAATAATAATAATAATAATAATAATAATAATAATAATAATAATAATGATGATGATGATGATGATAAGGATGATGATGATGGAATAATGCCGACGGAGCTCTGATGGTGATTGAAGATAATGATAACGTATATCTTCTCCAATACTTTATTGATCGGATCATGCCTCTGTCATGTCTTCGCCTCAAGCAATTAGCTTTTGCTCTGTTACACCCATGGTTCACAAGAAGACATGATCTACACATATTTACTGTTTTCAAGCGCCACTCTTCATTAAAAAATGACAATACAGCATAGCGTGGCGGATGGTGACGATGATGAGAATCACTTTCATTTCAAGTTTGTCTCCCTCGCTTGATATTTTCAGTTTTGTTTATCAAGCTCATCTCCGAAATTATAAGCTCTGTTGGTGGGAACGAACAATGAAACATTGAGCTTCTTGAATACAATATTATGTTTAGTGAAAATATACCGGTACTAGCAACGATTCTGTTCGTTTAACGCCGTCTTGCTATTTACATTATACATTTAGGATTGCTTAATAATTATGCTGATTTGCATACGAAAAGGACGCATGCGCTTTGTAAATTCGTTCTTTGCTTGGCATTATAGAGACTTCAGCCACACAGTGATGATCGCTACGATGAGATCAATAGAAGAGGAAACTAAGAGATAAGATTTTTTTTAGCATGTTGGATGTGACCAGGCTTTACTGCTGTGGGGACAAGTAGACTACGTGTAATTTCAACATGCTGCTGAGAGGCAGGCGAGGAAGATGAAAAAGCAAAATTTTAGGACCCTTTTCTTGATCATAGCCACTTTCATGTATTTGTTATTTGGTGCTGCCGTTTTTGATGCGATGGAAGCAAAGAAGGAAGAGCATATGAACGACAGCTTGTCTAGACGAGAGGAACATATTAAACACAAATATAATGTGTCTGATGAGGATATGGCCAACTTGACTACGATTATATTACTTCTCAAGCCCCACAGGGCTGGTGTACAATGGAAATTCGCTGGATCATTCTACTTTTGTATGACAGTTATAACAACAATAGGTAAGATACCGGTACTAAATTGAATATGGTAGGCCTATTATATGAATATCGTTGATGGTAGGCCTAAGATAGACCAATGGTTATTATAACTGTAAAAGTGTAGCCTTTAATTTAAGTGTCTAACGGGAAACCGACTCATGGAGGTAGGTTTACCATTATATTTGCTACATACACCTTCAAAGTCAAAACAATCGCCTTTTCAAACGAATTAAGTAACTCCTATCTACCGCCTTCCTCCTCCCAATCAAATGCCACCACCTATAATTGCATACAATCGTGACGTAGCAAACATGACATAACAGAAAAAAAAAATAAAACCTCCTTTACAAATAGTACTACACTACCGCCACTACTACCACCACCACCAGGGAGGTATTCACTATCACTAGTGCCACGCCACCTCTTACAAGTTAGAAGGCATCTTGCTCGAATTCCTCGTTCGATTATATTTTTATCTAGGCCTATGTTTTTGGTTAGAAAAATACCCTTTTAACATGATATTGCATGTCTATTAACACCTTGTTTTAGTAGGCTCCAACACTACTAATAGTACTTCTACTGCTGCTGCTGCTACTACTACTGCACTACTACTACTGACACTACTAGGCCTACTGCTGCTACACAAAACTTGCGCGATCTGAGCGCTGCGCCGGGATGCTTGCCCACACCATGGCGTTATAAAATTAATTTAAATCTAATTTTATAGCTCCATGCCCACACTACCAACTGCGTTTGTCTGATTGTTTCTCAGAAATTATGATATAGGCTAATCCCTATATTTTCTTTATGTTTAACATTATTACTATTTTAATTAAATGGTTTTAAAAGTGGAATGCAAGCTGTGATAACTATTGATTACATCACATGCCTTCGATGTTACTATATTATTGAATGTACATTTCTAGTGTTTAAAGAATGCACTAAGTACACAGAGCAGTTGAACTTAATTAGTTTGATCGTCATTTCTTGGCTTGATTGATTGCTTTTCTCTCGGGATAGCAGATATTGTGTGTGACACATCCTGGAGACGCTTTGTTTCATAAATGTATAATTTCCCTGGATGTTTACAATAATATTACACTACGTGAGGATCAATCGCTAGTATGCTTCTCAATAGGACGGAGTTCGATCTTGGAGGGTGAATTTTTCAAGCGCTATGGATTTACGCTCGACTCGTACATTTTTGGAAACAATCTACAAAATTACCTATGTCTGGAGGTTGCTGCATGAGGCGTTTGCCAACCTGTTGTAGAATATTAAGCCTCGTGGAAATAGGCCTGCCAAATTTCTGAGACAGAGTACACAGGCATAACGTTGATGATGAGCAGCGCAAAACACATCGAAAATACGCAAATCAGTTACACGTTATAGCCCCTATACCTATTCTCCTGTTTATGTCAAAATATGGCGAATAATATGTACAATATTATGAATATTATTTGTTGTTGGAACTGTAATGAAAATAGTCTACAATCAAAGGTGAGATCGTTTTACGAGTAGCTTAACAAAGGACTGACTTAACTATTTCTCATCTACGCGTAATAACAACAGTGGGCGTGCGGCCACGGATAATATTAAAGATGTAAACCACGGACCGTAATGATTCGACAATTAGTCCTACGGCACCAACATGTTTGCCTATATTTCTTCTGCCTGCTCATTACTTGATTGGTGATATTATTACGATTAGGAATAGAAAATCGACAGATCTCAATGAATTTCATATATTTACATATATATTTTTATAATTTTGTATAGGCCTATAGGATAATAGGGGCCTATATTTTTTGTTGTCGAGCTGAAGATGTATCAAGACGTGTTTTATATTGATTTGGCCACGATATTTTGAATGACTTGGCGTTCACTGTTAGTGTTAATAGCTTGTTGGGAACCCACTAGGGAAAGGACATAATTGTCGGAAAGGTGAGAGAGTATCAACGTGTAACAGCTGTTATATGGGAGACAAACATTAAATTTGCTATTATCCAATGCTGCTGCTCAGTGCAGCACTGTACCTAAAACCAAGAGGAGGATGTCTTCGATTCGTGTTAGATTTTATGCTAACTAGCGCTGATTTCTTGTTTACACAGTTCCTCACGCTAGTAGATCACATTAGCGTTCTTTTGTGTTTGCTCATTATAGTAAAACGCTTTATAAATCATCAAGTCATAATATTTTCTTGATCGGAGATTGGTTTGCACTGTCTTTCTGGCTGTATACTACAGCATTTCGTTAACGAAATTTTCGTTAGCCAGTTAATTTCGTGTTGTAGGCCTACTGAACTGTGCTGTGTGAATGCAATGGGAATATGTTCTTCTTTTTGGCATGTACATGTCTGGTTTAGCCTATCTATTTGGTTGTGTACTTGCGCGATCAAGAATTTGTTTCACTCGTTCAGATCGGGGTTCAGATATTGCTGACAACTGGTTGCTCTCCGGACAACGAAGTTGCTGCAGTCTTAAGAAATCGTAATCCACTAGGAAACAATGTAACCATAGAAAACAAACAAGCATATGAATGGATCGTAGGACATGCTAGACAAAAGCAGTACGTTGCGTTTTTGTCACCAGCCTATCATTCCCTTTCTTTGCGACAATTTCCAATTCCTTAATCTTGTGCACATGTCACCGAATGACCTTTATCCCCTGCGGGGGTGTTAGGTGTTAGCATACCTGGTTCCCTAGCAGCAGAAACGACTGCTATCAAATATGTCGATGATGACGTCGGCAATGATGATGAGGATGATGATGTCATAATTTAGTAGTTAGGAAAATAAAGAGGAAGAATAATAATTTTGGATCAGATTTGTTGAACAATCTTTCAGGCATTTCACATTGATTGGGGGTAAATTTATAACAAGAGGGCCTACAGTAATGCTTAAGCATATGCAGGTCATACAGTACATTGTATTGAGGGTGGTAGACTATAGCTGCTAGCACCTCCCTGGTGTGGTTTATGTCCATAGATTGTGGAGGGGATGACACCAAATCGTTATTACTGTATTAGGCCTGATCTTGTAGTGAAGTAGCTAGGTGGTTAAGATGCTTGGCTTTCTCTTCTGATATAACTTTTTCCTTCATTAATTATTCAGCTACATTTGACACCTGATAACGAGAATTAGTTTAAAGAGCATCATTCACATCTTGTAACATATCTCGCTGTTGGATGAGAGAGAATTTCCATAATAACACATCTGAAGTGTAGATAATATGGGAGTATTGACGGCCGATAAAATTAGCATGTTAGGAATATACCTTTTTTGAGTTTGCAACTTGTCGTTGCTACTGTCACATACGAATAATACAATATCACTGCAATATGTTAAATGTAAACCAGATGACAATCTACATCTTGCAACCCCATGTGAACTTGTGATCACAGCGAATGAGCGTCAACGTTAAAGACTAATTATATGAACTCTGTTTGATAGATTAATCCCTGACCATACCGAACAATCTATACTTAGCAGACGAATTATTGATAGTTTCCTTTGGAAATTAACAGAAATAAAATATAATTTATGTTTGTGAAAATTAGCTTACTGAGCTTGGGCATATTAACATATTTCAGAATCAGTAATTTACTATTGCTTCAATCACTACTACTATAGGCTTACTGCTACTAACTACTACTTCTACTTTCACCGCTGCTGCCACCACCACCAACATCTCTACAATGCATCCATTATGTTCCACACGCCGTACTATACATTCTTCAATAATCTTCAAGCAAAAAGAAGCTATGCTTCAAACCAAGGGCATCCTGAACATTTCTTTAATCAGTTTATATTGAGATACAAAATTTAGTTTTGTGGCCGATTATGATTATTCAAATAGAAACAATAAATGGCAGTCTAGGCTAAATGATATTCTAAGAAAATGTAGTCCATGCATCCCCACGATGCGTCGCATTCACAAATTTTCACACATCTCCACGCATCTTCACGTCGTGTAAACCTATATTTAGCATTTGAATTCATAATCAGTGCTTCAAGGCATTTATTTCGTTATCGTTGCATTAACTGATTGTCACAATGTAATCACAATCGGAAATTGTTTATGATGCGGTGTGGACGTAGCAATGGCCAATATACTGGTAGTTAGTCTACTCATGGAAGAATTAGTGTAGTTCTTCCATACCGTAGTCTACTGAAAAAACGGAGCGGTGATTCCAAGGTCTTTGTTCGAGCTGGGCTTAAATGTCAGATTTATCTGAAAATCATAAACAGCCCAAATTTCCAAGTACCATAAAGAAACTGGGTGATCAGATTTTGGATTGGATAATATTCGTCAGCCATATGTAGATTTTTTTTGTTGTAAAAACGACAGAATTGTAATATTGTAATATTTTAATATTGTAATATTGTAATATTGTAATATTGTAATTGTAATATTGTATAGGCCTATTGTATTGTTAGGGTTATACGATTTTGGTTCTTTCGTTAGACTTGTAGCGATTTGTTTATACATGACAAGGAATATATTAAGCACGACTACGGTATTATTTCCCGAGGAAGGATCTTCTAGAGAAGCTGGTCATCCAAACTTTTCTGTAAAAACAATCTGGTTCATCATTATTCTACTAGGCAAAGATACCATTATCATCTTCTTTTTACTAGACTTACTTAACCATGGCTCTGGGACGAACTACCAAATGATCTTACCAATTTTAAGTCTCTGTATGTATTTAATTATTCTGCCTGTAAAAAACATTTCTTGCAATTCCCGTGATCTTTTTTCGCCCTTACCTGCTTGACCCACTTAAAGCTTCTGTATAATTGTAAAATATTATATCCATTATTTTTCTTACATTTTTCTCGTGTTTAACCTCGGGAACCTATTATTTCAAAGTTTTAACCCTTGTTGGCTTCGTCACTTGTTCTTATTATGGTATTTAGGCCTACATTATATTTTGTTATTACTTAGTAATGATATTTTTGTTAAGTCTATACCGGTACTCATTTCATCTGTACAATAACATTTGAACAATCTAAAGAATTG